TACAGCATGTTCCTCCCCTCCCTCCGTGGTGCTTCCATTGAGCCCCGGGGTCAGGGCCACGGCAGTTTGAAGGCCCCGTGTGTCTGTTATGGGAACAGGCTCCTGGGGAATGCGCTGGGGCTCTGTGACCTTGAGGCTCGGGGGTGCTCTCGGGCGAGGGTTGCCTCTCCTGGGGCACGTCTGGCCAGTGCTTGAGCAAGTGCCACAGGATGGTGGTGCTGCAAATAGAGACCAGGGTCTGAGGGAGGAACCTCAACCGTGTCTCATCTCACGGTGGACTTTTGGTTGAGCATGGTTCCTCTAGCCCCTGGTTTTGAGCTAGTTTTGGAGAGCCAGGCAGCAGAGAAGGGAGAGTTCCCTCTTCCTGTAGGACCCACCTTCTAGCCTTCGCTTGCTCTAGCTCTTCTGGTCCATCTGGATGCCTCTTACCCTCTTGGCTGCAGGAGGTGAGCTGCCCCGTGGTTGTTCTGGACCTCCCAGCCCCAAGAGCTGGGCGCAGGGCTCTCTGCAGCTCGCAGTGCCTTGTCGTGGGGCAGCGAGATCCACAGGTCCGTGTGAAGCCTTGAGTCCTGCCCCACTCTGAGCGCTGGCCTGGCTCTTGTCAGCCCAAGCCTTTTGCCAGCTTGTGTGTGCCTCGTGGACCTGGTGTCCTCGTGGCTTGTGGCCGCGTCCAGATGAGCAAACGGGCTGCTACGAAGGGTTTTGCATCCATGGGACTGTGCCCCCTCGCGTTGTTGCCTTAGCCTTCCTCGTCCCTACCGTACCAGTCCAGCCGTGCCGTCGGCAGTCACCAGCTTCACTCTTTGTTTCCAAAGGATACAGAGCTTGTATCCACCCAAGGTGCTATCAAATGCAGGGTTTCTTCCAAAAAAACCTAGCCCCTTCATCCCTTTGAGCTGTGAATGAGGTGACAGGGAAGGGGAAGGAAGCCGGGGCTGCAAGGAGCAGCTCGCCTGTTAGGAAAAGCCTGACCTGTGACGCGTAGCTGTTGGCAGATGGAGTTGTCTCAAATCTACCTCAGAGGCCATCTGTTGCTGCAGACCACTTTCCCTCTTGCTCCTGCCCGCTGCCGCCTGTATATCTGCTGGCAGGAGATCCGTGGGAACTCCAGATCCCACCAGCTCGGTCCCTTGCTGCCTCTGCTGGGGAGCAGCATCTCCTGCCCAGGGTTTTGCGGGTCAGCATCAGCTCGCTGAGCTTCTTCGGGGCGCCACGCACCGGTCTAGATTTGGTAGGCACGCAGCAGAGGGGCACTGCTCACCCCACAGCTCTCCTCCGGGGTGGTTTCTGTAGCTGGGCTTTGCTGTTGGTGCCTCTTGTGCAGCGAAGCCGGCTGTAGCTTTAGTTCTGCCTCTTCCCAGGAGCAGGCTGGGCGAGAAGAGGGGGGCACAGGGCTGGGGTGCTCTTCGGTATGCAAGCCAGGATTGAGGTCCACCTTCCTTACGTGGTCCTTAGCGCGCCCCTTGCTCGGCCCTTTGGGCAGGTGACCTCTGGCTCTCTCCCAAGTGCAATTCTAGCTTGAGGCTGGCACAGTCGTTGATCACATCGTTCGTGTTTTGGGGAACGGGTGACAGTTGATTTTTCTGCCCTTCTTTTGAGTTGGGTCGGGTCTTTTTTCCTCTTTCTTTATGTCTCTTTTCTCCCTTCCTCCCCCTCTCCTTGTTGAGCCCCGGCTAACGCTGGGCACCGGAGGGAGAGAACGTGCAGGGACATGAGGACAGTTGGTGAAATTCCACTTGTTGCCCTGTCCCCATGACCTCTGAGTGTCAAATGAGATCTACCAGCAGGAGAGGGATTCCCCCTTCTTCAGGGGAACTGAGGAAGGAGACTTTGGAGCAGAACCCTTGGTGGTACCTTGCAATTGCTCCTCATAGCCCTTACCGGGTAGATAATACGCATTTTGGCTGGGAGGCAGCAACAGTACCCACAGCGCAATGCGAAGAGAGGGCAGGAAAGAGCTTTATGTTAGGATGTGGAAAAGGTCTAGTGTGAGAGGTTTTTTCCTTTCTCCTGCTTCTTCCCATCCCCAGCCATCCACTGCCACGTGCCCTCCGAGAGCGACTGCTGGCCGGCCCCTCTCCAGAGCCTCAGCCGGTCCTTTCTGCGGAGCCAGTGCCTCGCAGCCGCTGAGGTAGGGGCTCGGTTAACACGTGACACGTACAGTCCCCCCCAAAAAACTGGCTGCTGAATGATTCCTCCTCCTGCCTGCTCCGCTTCGGGCAGCTTTTCCACTTGCACGATCCTGCGTCTTCATACAGCGGCTGATGATGCTTCGTATCCCAAGTGCCTTACGGTGCCGTGTAGCCTCTCGCACGCTTGATCTGCGTGCTGCATCAGTAGCTGAACGCCCTCCCTCTTTACAACATATGTACAGCATCTGCTGCGGGTTCTGTTTTCTTTTTGATAGCGCTATCAGTAAAAGGGACTCCCTCTTTACAACATATGTACAGCATCTGCTACGTTTATGTGGGTTTTGTTTTCTTTTTGATAGAGCTATCAGTAAAAGGGATGGTTTGTTTTGGAAGTGTTTCCATGTGTTCTTTTTTAATTTTTTTTCTTTTTAAATATAGATGATGGGGCTCTCTTGTTTTTTTTTTTTTTTGCCTTCCCCTCTATTTAGTCCTCAGAAATCCCCACCCTTCTCTCGTTGTTCCCAAACGTGGCAGGATCCCTGGGGTTATTTTTCTGAGCGGAGCCTTCGCTGTCATCCCAGAGG